TCCTCCTCCTCCTCCGCGTCCTCCTCCATTCCTCTCCATTCCTCCTCCATTCCCTCTCCTCCTCCTCCTCCTCCTCCTCCTCCTCCTCCTCCTCCTCCTCCTCCTCCTCCTCCTCCTCAATCCGTTTCCAGAAGGCTGCGCGATAAGGATGCAAGGGTCTTGAAAGGCCATGTCGACACTCTGCGGGTGGGGCGCGGCCAGCGAGAGCGGCCAAGGATGGGCCGAGGAGGCAAGGATGCAAGGGTACCCTTGGGAAGGATGCCCATCCTTATTGTGCGGGTTGACTGTAGGCACGGCCCTAAAGCTCTCATGTGCACGTCTCCTGTGGAGGTCAACGCAACTGACGACCGTTGCTCCAGGAGCTGCCCCCACAGCCTCAAAGGACAGCTCCCACAGAGTCGCATCCTGACTCCCGATTGGCTCTGCAGACCTCCGCAGTCAAACCACGACAGGCTCCAGACCTGCGGATCCAAAGGCTCGCATGTCAACATGCTCACAGCCACCGTCCTCGACGGGGAGAAAGGCACCACTCCAGGTCCTCTCGAGCTCAGATGTCGGAAGTCCCCCGAGTGGCACCTGTGTGGAGTGGCGAGCCTCAGGCCCAAGAACTGCATCGAAGAAACAACCGACCCAGCAAGGGCTGCTCATGTCCCGTGGCCCACAAGATGCAAAGCAGCTGGGTGTCGTGGACTCGACATGGCTCATAAGCTTGTTCTTGAGGCAGGGCTCCCTGATAGTTCGAGTGGACAAAACCTTCCAACTGCAACTGCCAACAGGTGAAGTCGTATTACAGAGACCCTGTTGAAGAGTGGAGTACCACTGCCCTTCAGTCTTTCGCGGGATGTTTTCAGCCCAGCACATCCATTCAGGTGATGTGGAATTGCAACCGTACCATTGGCTGGGGCAGAACTGATACAGATCAAGGGCATCACAAGTTGCAACTAAGAGCTTATGATAGTGCATCTTTATGCAGGAACCGCATGTGTTCGAATCGCGTGAAACATTGCCGCATGATTTCTTCAATGCTGCAGCGCACTTCGTGGTGGTCTGGTGTGGGGCATAGTGTTCCTTGACGCTCTCACGTCCAACCCGTGTTGCATCACAGCTCGCACTCCTGTTTTGCCACGCAGCAGGGCAATCGCAAGAATATGTCCCAACCTTGCAAGGCACACCCGAAAAAGGATCCGTACCATTGCAAAGGTTGCACGCAGAATATGAAGTGAGGCGAGAATCAACTTCCATCTCGACCTTAGTGACAACCAAATTTGGATCCTTGCGCTCTGGGTTATCACAATCAAAATGAGATCGTCCCTGCTTTGACTGGTTCTCGCATTCGAGTGGAAGAAGAAACTGACCCAGGTAGAAGAAGAGGTCTCCAGCAGCATCACCTGTGTCCATATTCAGCGGAATAGCGCCAGCAACGACGGGGTTGAGATGATATACGGTAACGTTCTGGGCATACTCGGGGGCAATCTGTGCGACAGAAGGTCCGATAGCAGTGATTCCCAGAAGAGCAAGACCAAAAGTCGCTGCCATGGCAGTCAAACAATAGAGAATAGAGGCCTCCTAGATCGGGTCGGAGTAGATGTGGTCGGAGGATCGCGCCGCATCGCCGATACATCGGCGATGCATCGGCGATGCATCGGCGATGCATCGGCGATGCACCGGCGATGCATCGTCGACGTGGGCGATGCATCAGCGACGTCGACGTGAAGCAAATCGGACTGCACATCGAGCCACATCGGCGATGCATCGGCGATGCGGTGCGATCCTCCGACCCCATCTACTCCGACCCCATCTAGAAGGCCTAGAAACAATCACACTGCCCCCCACCCCCCTGGGGTATGACTTGAAATTCCCTGGGCCAAGCTGGCCACGGACCAGTGGCGGCGGCCATTGCGCAGCGCCAGGGCAGGGACGCGTGGCGCGCGCGCGCGCCCCGCGCGGCGGTGCGACGGCACGGGGGCTCTCCGGCGAGGTTCGGGAAATAACTCGTTGCCCTAAGTAGGGCGTGTCACCCTACAGGCGGATTTTGGATGAGAAATTAAGCATAGTCAAACAATGTTTCAAAGTATGTCACAAAAATCACTATATTTGAACATTCCCTCTGTAGAGGGACACGCCCGACTTACTCATTGCCCCCTGCTCGCTTATCGGGTGCCGCCGAAGAAGGGGGGGGCCAGAAGCCGAGCCCTCCCAGATGCCCAGACGAGCAATTTCAAAGCCCCCCCCAAGACCAGCCATGCAAGGGCGGCCAGCCCTTTGCCCACCCTCCAGAACCCTTGAAGACAGCTAGAATCAGACCTCCCTCCCAAATCAGATTACACCCTTTTTTCTCGTGAAACCCAGAACAGATAGGGTCGGGGGATCGCGCCGCATGGCAGATACATCGAAGATACATCGGCGATGCATCGACGAAGCATCGACGATGCATCGACGCTGCATCGGCGACGTCTGCGATGCCTCAGCGACGCCAGCGCTGAAGAAGTGGGGCGCCACATCGAGTTGCATCCCCGACGGCTCCGGCTCGGCGATGCGCCGCGATGCCGCCGAAGAGGGGGGGCCCAGAAGAGGGGGGATTGGCGCACCATTACAGTCAACCCGTCTAAATTGAAAGAGTTTCTATGGAACTCACGTCATCCTGACCCCCGGCGCTCGAGAAAGTCGCCGCCCAGCGCAACCCTAGGGACCATTTCCGACGCTGCGCCGGGCGTGTCCCCGTCCAGGGCTCTCGCTCGAGACATCCTCGCAACATCGCCCCACGGGCCCCCAGAGCACCCGCAGAGACCACTTCAAGGCGCTGCGCCGGGCGTGTCCCCATCCGGCGCTCTCTCTCGAGACATCCGTGTCCCCATCTGGCGCTCTCGCTCGAGACATCCTCGCAACATCGCCCCACGGGCCCCCAGCGTACGTACGTAGCCCAAGAGCCATTTCCGGCGCTGCACCAGGCGTGTCTCCATCCGGCGCTCTCGCTCGATGGCATCCTCGCAGCATCGCCCCACGAGCCCCCAGCGCACCCCCAAGGACCATTTCAAGGCGCTGCGCCGGGCATGTCCCCATCTGGCGCTCTCGCTCGAGACATCCTCCCTCTCCTGCTCCACACTCGCGCGATCCTCATCCTGCTGATTTTCATGATCCTCATCCTTGCTCTTCTGATCCTCGTTCACCAAATCCTCACCATCCTGCTCCACGCCTGCCTGATCCTCACCCGCGTGACCCTCACTCTCCTGATCCTCCCCCTCGCGAGCCTCGCCCTCTGATCCTCACTCTCTTCATGCTCACCCGCCTCACCACCGCCTCCCACTCAGTCTCCCCTCGCCCACAATCGCACGCCCCTTCTATACAAAAACTTCCGATCAACCGCAGAGCGGCCAGCCAGTAAGGATGCGCGGTAAGGATGCAAGGGCCTTCGAGGGCCACGTTAGCGTTTTTCGAACGGGGTTGGCCAGCGAGAGTCGCTAAGGGTGGGCCGAAGGGGCAAGGATGCAAGGGTACCCTTGGGAAGGCTGCCCATCCTTCCTATGCGGGTTGACTCTAGCGGACCCCCCAAAAAAACATGGACGTTCGAAAGAACTCCCAGATCGGGCCCCAAGACGGTTCGAGACTGCCTGCGAGACTCCAAAATAGGGGAACAAAAAGTGACATAAACATAAAAAAACTCGGAGGTCCGCGCGGATTCCTCGGATCGGCGCTGGGGCCCCCCAGCGGCGCCTCCGGCGCCGCCCCTGGCGCGCTCCGCGGTCCAGGGAGGGGGGTCCAGCGCCGATCCGAGAAATCCGCGCGGACCTCCGAGTTTTGTTATGTTCATGCCACCTTTCGTTCCCCGACAAGAGGCTCCGCGAGGCCCCCAAACAGCTCCCAAGACGCCCACGGGAGCCCCCCGAAGAAGGCCCACGGATCCCACGACGCCCCAACGGATGGACTCCCCACCTCTGCCGGGGGTCGGCGGCACGGCGCGGGCCTCGCGCGGTCGAGGGGGGACCAGGATCAGGAGGGAAAGAAACACACAGACACATTGAATCGTCGATTCCCCAGAAAAGATATGAAAATATGGAAAATGGGGGGCAAGACAAAAAAAACATAAGATATGTGAAAAGATTGGGAATCCAGTTGTTTGTGTCCACTTATTCGTGTGTCCCAGGGCCCCTTCACAGGGGCCGTGCCGAGAGGGAAAGGACGAGGGGCCCACGCGGACTCCGCGAGAGTCACACGTCGGGGGGGAACGAGAGGGCAGGATAGCAGAGGACAGGGTAAAGAAGCCGCTCAGGTGGTTGGTTTTCCTGGCGCCCAGTGGCAGCTCTGGAGGTAGGAAAGGGGTATGGTATAAGGGGGTGTGGTGGTAATGGCAGGTGAAGGGGACTCTGGCGATGTGATTCGTCGCAGACAGCATCGCCATGTCCACGATTGGCACCACACCCCTTTGTGCCACACCCCTTGCCGAACCCCAGAGCAACGGGAGGCGCCCATGTGTCGAGGAAAGGGCCTGGCGGCGGGGCGGAAACAAGCTGCGCACAGCAGATTTCGTACCCCCCCCTTCCCCTATCCTACTCCTTCGCTCCGCCCGATCATGGGTCCTGGCCATGGTTATCAGCACGCCCCTAGTCCTCCCTCTCCCTTGGACGACGCCACCGATTCCTCTCTCGGGCGTCCTCGGCGCTGGGGCGCAGGCCGGAGATCTTCTGACCCGGGTCAATCCAGACCCGGGTCTGCAGGAAACCAAAAAACTGCAAAGCAGGAAAAAAAACTGCAACGCAGGTCTTCGCTAACCTGGGTCAGCCAATATGCGCGGCCGCCTCGCGGCCACGAGCGGCTGCCTAACCCGGGTCAGCCAGAGGGGGTCTTCGCAGGATCCTGCAGGAACCGGTGCCCTGGCTGACCCCCGTTTGCATTGACCCCCGTCTCTTGAGCCCCGCCTGAACAAGAAAAAACGGTACAGACACAGTCCTCCGGAGGTCCGCGCAGGTATCTTGGCTCGGCTCTGGGCCCCCTCCCAGGCGCGGCGCGCGCCAGGGGCGGCGCCGGGGGCGCCGCCAGGAGGCCCAGGCGCGGATGCAAGAGATCTGCGCGGAGCTCCGCAGATTTTCGCTTCCGAGCGGATCGTTCTTCTCTTTTGGGGGGCCACATGCGAACCCTGCCCCTAGCCCCCGCGAATTCTAGGGGGGGAGGTGGGGTTCCCGTCACTCGGGAGCTCCCGAACGAAGCGAACCCCGCCCTCCCCCTCAGAAATCGTGGGCCTTTGTGGGCCCCGGAACGGAAACGGCAGGGCCGTTTTTTCACCGTTTCCACAAAAATGTCCCTTGAAAATGGAAACGGCAACAAAAACGGCGACCGGAAACGGCAAAAAAAAACGGCTGCAGGAGTGGAACCAGAGCCGGAACCGGTCCAACAACGGCGACGGACCTGGTAAGAGAACGGCGTCGGAGCCGATATAAAAAAAAAAAAAAAAAAAAAAAAAAAAAAAAAAAAAAAAAAAAACGGGCCTGTCGCTTCCAGGGCAGGGGGCAGGGCTCGCACGTGGCCCCCGATCCTTCCAGGCCCGCGCCCCAGCGCTGGGGGCGCCCGAAAATGGGCTGTTGTTGTGTCTGCGTCCAAGGTCGGCCCCGAGCCGCCCGAGGCCCTGGTGCGAAGCAGCCGCCACCCCGAGGGAGGGAGGGAGGGAGGAGCAGGAGGGAGGGAGGCAGGGAGGAGCAGGAGGGAGGGCAGGAGGGAGGAGGAGGAGGAGGAGGGAGGAGGGAGGGAGGAGGGAGGGAGGGAGGGAGGAAGGCAGGGAGAGCACGGGCCTTTCCCCCCCTTCGCTGCGAGGCCGTCGCGCGGCGCCACTCGGCTCCCCCTGGCCGCCGCCGCCGCTCCCCGCTGCAGGTCGTCGGCGCCGTCGGCGCGCGTGCTGGCGTCGGCGGCGTCGTCGGTGTCGTCGGCTGCTGTGACTTCGGGAGTCTTCGGTGGCAACTCATGGGAGCCTCCCACACCGTCTTGCCGGCTCTTGCGAATCGACGCCAGTCGACGCTGAATCGACGCTGATCGACGCCAAATCGACGCCGATCGACGCGAAACAAACGCGAATCGGCGCTGGACGACGCTAAATCGGCGCTATCTCACCGACTCCCAGACGCTAGGTATACAAAGCTCGAGAGAGCGCGTTTCACGGGCGCCTGCCTTGGGAACAATCGGCGGCGCGTTTCGAACCAGGGAGTGGGCCCCCCCAACACTCGGGGCCGTCGATCAGAACCAGCGGGACTCCCCTCCCCCCTAAACCCCCCCCCTCCCTCGCAAGGGGGGGGGGGGTCCAAAATTACAGAACGCGCTCTTTCCAAGGCTCCAGTGATTTGCTACCGAGACAGCGGGAGTCCGCGGGCGACCCCGATCCGACGGGGGACTGCTCTGGCCTGCGGGAGGCGCCGCCCGACGAGAGACGGCTCCGTCCTCGGGGCGCAGCAGCGAGGCGCCAGGGCAGGAGAGCCCAGAAGCGAATCGATGAGTCGGATCGGCAGTCGAAACACGTCGGGTCGGCGGCAATCGGCAGCCGAGTCGGTAGAAGTCGAATCGGCGGAAATCGGCAGGCCAGCATGCCTCCATGGAAAAATCGGAGCCCAGGTCGGAATTCGAAGTCAAATCGAATCGCAATCGGAAGCCATCGAAGTCGAATCGAATCGAACCTCGGGGACGGCCAAGAGGGGGGTGTCTAAGAAGGGGGGGGCGCAAATCATGGCCGCCGGCATGTGCGCGGCCCAGGAGGGGGGCCAGGGACGCATTGAAAGAAGAAGAGGCGCCATGAAATCTGGGGAGATATCATGGCCCCCGCCATGATATCCACCCCCCCTGGTCATCACCCCCCTCTTGGCCGCCCCAGAGAACCGGAGGAGTCGAAACGAACCCTGCCAGGGCGCGGGGAAGAGAGGCAGGAGAGCGCCTGCGAGCGCACCACCTCGAGCATCCCGTGTCCCTCTCGGGGGCAGCGCTGCTCAGCTGCTGCGCCAGCAGAAGTTCGGCGGCGAGCGAGGGGGGAAGCGAGAAGGAGAAGGCCGTCTCTAGAAGAAGAAGAAGAAAAACAACAACAAAAAAAAACATGAGCATAAACTGTTGGCGCTCCGCGCGGATTTCTTGGATCCGCGCTGGACCCCCCCTCCCTGGCGCGCGGAGCGCGCCAGGGGCGGCGCCGGAGGCGCCGCAAGGGGACCCAGTCGCGGATCCAAAAAATCCGCGCGGAGCGCCAAAAGTTTATGTATATGTTGTTATTTCTCCTTCGAGCCTCACAAGGTTCGGAAGTCCCCCGGCCTTCTGAGAAGTTTTGTGAGCCTTCCCCGAAGACTGAGGGCCACGTGCGAACCCTACCCCCACCCTCCCCCTCAGAAATCGTGGGGGGCAGGGGTAGGGTTCGCATGTGGCCCCCTAAAAAAACTGTTCAGAAGGCGTGAAGGCTTCTTAGAGGGCGCGCCGCCCTCTGAAGAGGCCTCCTCCCTCTCGCTTCCCGCCCCCCCGCTCGCCGCCGCGAAGTCCTCCAGCGAGCCCGATCCGATCGGGCACTCCCTCGGCTTGCAGGGGCACCACCTGGCCAGGAGAGAGGGACACAAGGGCCCTGCACTCCGCCTCCTCCTCCTCCGCCTGCTGCTGCTCCTTCTCCTCCTCCTCCTCCTCCTCCTCCTCCTCCTCCTCCTCCTCCTCCTCCTGCTCCTCCTCCTCGTCCTCCTCGCTCTCCTCCTCCTCCTCCTCCTCCTCCTCCTCCTCCTCCTCCTCCTCCTCCTCCTCCTCCTCCTCCTCGCTCTCCTGCTCCTCCTCCTCCTCCGCCTCCTCCTCCTCCTCCGCCTCCTCGTCCTCCGTGGCTTGCGCAGGCCGCTCACGCGGCTCACCATATGGACAGGAGGGCGCTCGCGTGCGAGCCCGAGGGCTGTCAGGCCACTTCTGGGAGACCCTTCGCAAGAACCATCATATATATATATATATATATATATATATTGGCAGGCTACCAGACTCGATGGAGGGGCCGTCGCGCCAGATCGGCCCATGGTAAGAGCCCTGAGCCCATCCGGATCAAATCGGATTCAGACTGATGAAATGTGAGTGGGGCTAGACGAGCGCGTTCCACTACTCGCGAAGTAACTACTCGCAAATGGCCGGGATCCCCTCGCGGGGGATTTACAAGAAATTACGTCGAAGCAGACATGTTTTTTCGGACGGTTGCGGGCAGGCACTTTGCGAGTAGTGGAACGCGCCCGGTGGGGAACGATGCCGGGCGAGGCCTGTTCCCGAGCAAGAGGACACACCAGCGCCGAGGCTGACCTTCATGAAGAGGCCCAGGGTCACACAAATGAATACACACAAATCCCAGGATTCCCATATTTTCCTATATCTTCGGGGTTTCATAGTCTCCCCCCGCACTTCCCATATTTCCCCATATTTTCCTGGGGATCGACGATTAACTGTGTGTGTGTTCCCCTCCTGACTTCACCTCCCAACAGTTGCGCATCTCAAGTGCGGAGGGAGACGACGCGCGCACGCGACCGCGCGGCGGTCGCCCGCCCCCCCCCCTTGCTGCCCCTCTCGCCTCAGGTCGGGCATCTCCTCCTACAGGCGGACTTGGGAGGAACAACTCAAAAAAACAGTCACACATTACACACACACACACACATTTTTATTCATGAGCACGAAAAATCGCCCCCCGATTATTTTCTACCCTTCTCGACTACTCCTCCTGCAGAGGGACCTGCCGGCCTTCACCCTTGCCGCCCCGCTTGGCTGCACGCAGGAGTGACCCTGGGTAAGAGCGACCCTTGGTGCGCGACTCCACGGGGCGCGTGGGGCGGCAAAACACAGGCGCGCAAGACGTTGCTGTCGCATCGCGCTCGGCCATCGGGGGAGCCCAATGGGCCCGCACCAAAGGTCACTCCGGCTAAGGGTCACTCTTACGTCTAGTCTCGGGCGGGGCGAAAGGGGGGAATTGAGAATCAGCTCACGTAGCTGATTTTCCCAGCGCCTCCGGGCGCCGGGAGGCGCCCATGTATCGAGGAATGGGCCTGGCGGCGGGGCCGAAACCAGCTGCATGCAGCAGATTTCGTAACCCCCCCTTTCCCTATCCCCCCCCTTTCGTTCGGGCCGATAGTCGACCCGCCCGCCTGGCCGTGCTCTTCGCGCCCCTGCAGGGGCAGCGGCTCCAGCCCAGGGCGCGGGGCCACGCCCGCCCCGTGCTCGCCCGGTCGCAGGGGCACGTCCCGTGCTCCTCCACGGCCACGCGCCAGGGCTCGGGACACGGGCCCGGGCGCGCCCACGGGAGGCCGGCCTCGAAGGGGCCCAAGGACGCAGAAATAGATAGACACAAACAAAAGGATCCCCCATATTGCCATATTTTCCCATAAGTTCCCATCTGTTCCCCATATTATCCCACATGTTCTGTGTTTTTGTCTTCCCCCCCAATATTTTCCCACATGTTCCCCTATTTTTCCTGGGGATCGACGATGAATTGCGTCTGTGTGTTTGTTTCCCCTCCTGAGGCCTGCAGGGAACGGGAGACGTCGTAGGTGTTCGTCACCAGGCAGCCCATCATCGTGTCCTCTGGGGCTGGGCCCAAGCCTGGCAGGCCTGGAAAGGGGTGCACCAACACCAGCACAGAGGAGGAGGAGGAGGAGGAGGAGGAGGAGGAGGAGGAGGAGGAGGAGGAGGAGGGGGAGGAGAAACACCAGCACAAGGTGATCCCAGATTTCGGTGCTGGCGGTAATGGCTCGGCCACCTTGGAAGCCTGAGTAGTACCACCGTCACCGGGATAGGGATCTCCTTCCCTCGGTGGAGGCACACCGCCGATGGTGGTGTTGGTGTCAACCTGTGGGCCTGCGATACACGCTGTTTTTCGTTATGTGCTCATTTCGTTGTTCGCTTTGCCCCACCTGATTTCCTGTACCTTCCCTCCCAAAACGAGGAACAGCCGAAGTCCAGCAAAAGCGCGTTCATCGGGAGCGGCCAAGAGGGGGGTGTCCAAGAGGGGGGGTGCAAATCATGACTGGCGGCATGTGCGCGGCCCAGCGGGGGGGCCAGGGACGTAGTGAAACAAGAAGAGGCGCCATGAAATCTGTGGAAAATCCTGGCCCCCGCCATGATATCCACCCCCCCTTCGTCATCTCCCCCTCTTTGCCGCCCCCGAGTTCAGGTCCAGCCCTGGTCCTCCCCGGGCATCATGTCCCGGCAGGCGCGCACCCCAGTGCGGTGGAAGATGCAGTGCAGCACGGGGCGGGAGAGGAGGTAGAACTGCCCCTGCATGAAGTACCCGCCCTGGAGATGGCCATAGTTAGGGGAACAAAAAGTGACGTAAACATAAAACCTCGGAGGTCCGCGCGGATTTCTCGGATCGGCGCTGGGGCCCCCTGGCGGCGCCTCCGGCGCCGCCCCTGGCGCGCTCCGCGAGCCAGCGAAGGGGTTCCAGCGCCGATCCGAGAAATCCGCGCGGACCTCCGAGTTGTTATTTTTATGTCATCGTTCGTTTCCCAACCATAGTAGACGCCATGCCCCTCCTCCCACGGCGTCGGGTTCGAGGTCGGCATCGTGCCCCGCGACGTGTTGCCGTTGGGCGAGTGCGGCAGGTCCTCCAGGTCCTCGAGGACCTCGGCGACGTAGGGGAAGTTGTCCATGTCGTTCTTGGCGTAGTGTGTGATCCAAGGGAACCGATGGAAAGCAAACTGGAACGCCGACAGCGACTTGTTCTTCACCTCCTCAGGGAAGGTTGGCGTCTCCATGTGTAGAGGCCTCCTAGATAGGGTCGGAGTAGATGTGGTCGGAGGATCGCGCCGAATCGCCGATACATCGCCGATGTATCGGCAATGCATCGGCGATGCATCGGCGACGTCGGCGATGCATCGGCGACGTCGGCGCGGAGAAATTCGGGCTCAGCATCGAGCCGCATCGCCAGTGCATCGACGATACGGCGCGATCCTCCGACCCCAGCTGCTCGGACCACAGCTAGGAGGCCCAGAATGTGCTCGGAGGGAATCCACTTCCCCCCTGCCCGGAAGCCCTTCCGATCCGAAGGCGGCCTCCGAATCTTCTTCTTTTTTCCACGGACCGTGACGGTGATGGAGGGCGGCCGCATCTGGGGAACGGGCGAGAAGTCCCACTGATCCAAGGTATCCAAGATGACTATATCCTTTAGGAGGCAACTACTGCGAGGTTTCCGTCAAGAGGATGAAAAAGGATTAGGCCCCATTGGGGGGCTGTTACGCCAGAGTGGGCCTCGGATTAGGCGGGAGTAAGCGGGATTAAGCCAGATTAAGCGGGATTCAACCGGATTAAGCCGGATTTCGGACCAGGGCAAAATCAGAATTTGCCCTCGCAGGAGTTGCATCCGAATATCCTTGTGCACGGAGAGCTCCTTCGCAAGGTGCGCGTCCGTCTTGCCGTCACGCCCGGCGAAGAAGGCCACAAAGGCGCTGCAACCGGGGGGCTCGTTGAAGACGCCGATCGTCAAGGCGCAGATGCCAGGGACGCTCATCCACGTCTCCCGGTGCACCTGCCTGAGCTTGGCCTCCTTCGGAATCGTGGTGACCATTACTGGCGGCGCGCACGAGGGGGGAGGCGATGAGGGGCGGCACAGTTGAGGGAGAACGGCAGGGGCAGGGGGAAAGGGGGGGCTGGCTCAGTACAGGGCAGTTTTTTTATACATACGATTTTTAAAATATAGGAATTTAAATATATGAATGAATTTATGCATGAACTCATCGTTGTTTTTAGTACTAAATCCTTGCACCTTTAATACATGATCCGCACGCGGAGCATGTATTAAAAACGGCGCTGTAGGGGAAACATCGACTTGGAATTGGCAAGACATCGGCGACAGGCCCTCGATAGCCGAAGCGCACGCTCATGTGCAGGGTGGGCTATCAGACCCCAGATCGGCGATCAGTGGGCGACTGGGGGTCCATGCACCTCCCCGCGGAGCATGTCACCCCTAACGCTGCCCCTGACACAGGGGCAGCCTTCCAAGAGGGCACTGGGCTTCTGAGATAATTAGGGGGCCCAGAAAAGACGTACGCGCCGAGCTATGTACATGAGCACGGCCCCCTCGATCCGCGAGACTGGCCGCGTGGTACGAACATGTGCGCAATGAGCACTCTCGAAACCAAGGTGGCTTCATGTACGTGTACGTCCTTCTTTCGCTCCTGATGAGAAGCCCTCCTGCCTCACAAGAAGCCGTCTTCGAAGCCTCTGAGCCCTTCCAAGAGGCCCACTGCATCGCTGAAGGCCGGCCCCGTCGCCCCAACCCCTCCTGCGCGCCGCCAACATGATCAGAAGCTTCACTTTGTCGCTCGGCTTCTTCAAAGGAGTGCGCCACCAGGAGAAGATCTTGCTAAGAAGAGCAACAAGCGGCATACATCGGCGGTGGACAAGCCTCCCTTACGTAAACCACCCTCTAGTGGAAAAACGGCCCAGGACCGAGACCACTGGACCTGGACCTGCAAAAATGACGGCCGCCGCGACGCCCTCTCGCGAACCGAAAACAGCCAATTCGGGTACAGTCGGGGCGTTGACCTAAGGAACCCTAAATAAGGAGCGAGGCCCCTTTTTCCCATAAGTTAAACTTCGATTTCCCATCGAAACCCTAAGCAAAACCAAAGGCGAACTACAAAACAACTAAGGAACACCGAGCCCCTCCCCAACGAAAAGGGTTCCTTCCTCAGCGCCCCGACTGTAGGAGGTCGAGCGACCTCCGAACACATCGCAGGCGGAAAACGTGTCCGTATCCGGGGCCCCGCGGGATGGGGCCCCTGGGTCGCGGGCGCCGGGCCCCAGAGCCGCACCGCGGAGAGGCGGGGTGCTATCGTCACGGGGGCCCCGCGCGGAACGCATCCACGCGGCCGAATATGAAGGGGCCCAAGGACGCCCAAATAAATACACACAAATAACAGGATTCCCAATACTTTCCCCCATTTTCTGGGTTTGATAGTCTTCCTCCCCACTTCCCATATGTTCCCATATTTTCTTGGGAATCGACGATCAATTGTGTCTGCGTGTTCCTTTCCCTCCTGAGAGTATCCACGGGATCGCCCCCCGAATCCATACCGCGAGGGCGTGGACATCCGGAGGCGCGCAAACACGGATTAGCGATCCACGGATTTGGCGCGCGGTCGCCAAATCCATGGATCGGGGGAGGTGCCCTCCCCAAAGGGCGGCCGGTGCCGTCTCGTTCGGCGGCGGAAGTCCGCGATTTCCCATGCAAACGGGACCCGACGCTAATCCACGCCCCCTTGATCCATGTTGGCGATCGCCTGAGATATGGAATAAGAAAGAACGGCATAAACATGAACTTTTGGTGCTCCGCGCAGATCGCAAAAAGTTTATGTTTGTGGCGTGTTGTTGTGGTTCCTTCGATTGATATGGCTACGTTCACTGATCGCGAACATACAGAAGCTGTCTGACATGCCTTGCGTCTGCGCGGACCCCTGCCTCCCCCTATGCGCTGAACCTGCGCCAGAGCGGCGCAAGAGGCGCCGCCAGGGTAAAGGGGCCCAGGGGCACAGAAACAAGTAAATACAAATTCCAGAATTCCCTATATTTTCCCATATGCTCCAGGTTTTCGTCTTCCCCACCCCTCCCAGATTTCCCCGTATTTTCCTGGGAGTCGACGATTGCTTGTGTCTGTGATTGTTCCCCTCCTGACAGGGGATTCCTGGGTCCCGGCGCCCTCCCGAGAAATCCGCGCGGACGCCGAACATAATCATGCATGCGTGTGCCGCTTTTTGCCCCTCGATTGTGGAAGCTCTGCCGGAACAAGGCCGCGTCCTTCGGGGGAACCGACATGGGTGCGTGCGGAAAAAGGGGTACGATGGCCAACACCACTTCCTTCCCATTGTGAGCAGGGGTCGCTCTCGGCGACACTGCGGACGTGACCCACCAACCTGAGACAAAAGGCCGCCTGCCCGACAGCGGCCGCTGTCGGTTTTAGGCAACGCTTGCTGCTGGGCATCGATATCGTTTCCTTCAGCTGCGTTCCCAGACACTCACCGAGAGAATGTTGCCAATCCGTGGCCGCTTTCCCAATGTTATGTTGCTCCCATCGCACTTGAGGACCACATCCCAGAAATAATTTCGAGCACCCGGAACAGTGTCGAAACAGTGTCGAAACAGTGTCGGACGAGTGTCTCCCAGGGCCCGACACGTGGAAACCCTCGAGTTCAGGTACTTTTCTGGCGCTCGAACTTCTTTCTGGCGATCAAGGCCAGACAGCAGGTTGGAGCATCAGAACCCCAGTAGGTGTATCCCTCGTCCAAGGTCCACCGTTCAGGGCCCCAGGGCCCGAGAACGGACCCCGAGGCCCGCGACATCAAGGAGAACACGCCGCTCAACAAAGTCGTGTCGTCGGAGATCTGGGCTGGGGCCGCGCCACAGAGGGGCAACGATAGGGTTAGGTCGGGCAAGTCCCCTACAGACGGATTTTGGATGAAGAATAAACAACACGAAAACAAACAATAATACAAACATAATCAACAAAAAAAAAAGAATTCTTTCATATAACAAGAAACAAGACACAAAAAAAGGTCCCAAAACTGTGTGTTAGTATCTTTCAACATTCCCCCTGTAGAGGGACAGGCCGGCTTCACAAAAGGGGGGGACTGGCACAATGGCATAGGGGGGGGGGGCACGTCGACCCGGAATCGGCCATACGTCGCCGGTAGAGCGGCGATGGCCCCCGATAGCGAATCTCCACGTTCGTGGGCGGGGTGAGAAGCAGTCGGGCCGCTGAAGGAAGGAACGCCAAATGAGGAACGGAGCCCCTTTTTCTAGGGGAGCGAACAATGACATCAACATAAAACAACTCGGAGGTCCGCGCGGATTTCTCGGATCGGCGCTGGACCCCCCTCCCTGGCGCGCGGAGCGCGCCAGGGGCGGCGCCGGAGGAGACACCGGGGGGGCCCAGCGCCGAGCCGAGAGATCCGCGCGGACCTCCGAGTTGTTTTATGTTTATGTCATTGTTCGCTCCCCCATTTTTGGCCCTAAAAGCGCCTCCGTGCCCGAGGAGGGCGAGAGGGACAGCAGGGGAGGAACTTGGGGAGCATCGACCCCCTTCCGAACCCAAACAGTTCCTTATTTCAGCGTCTTGACTGTATCGTTAAGTCGGGCGCGTCCCCCTACAGGCGGATCTTGGACGAAGAATAGCGAAGACCCCCCAGCAGAAATCCGAAACTATTCAGCAAAATAGTAAGTTACAAATTGTCCCCCTTTGGGAATATTCCTCCTGTAGAGGGACAAGCCCGACATGAGGCTATCGAACCCCTGTCGACGATCAATGGGCGATAGGGGATCGATGCATGCCCCCCTGTGCCAGTCCCCCCTATCGTGCGACGCACAAAGACACACTGGTGCTATACGTTCTCCTTGGAGGCGCGCGTCCGACCGGAACAAGCAGTATACCAATACTGCGGTACATCGCTTCCCGCGCGTGGTGGCCAGAAAGCGCCCGCCATGACGCATATACTATTCAGATCTCTCGATGCGCACGTCGCCAGTGGGGGGGGGGGGGGGGCGACGCACACATGGTAATAGTATGTCGGGGAGCCAACGATATCAGGAGAAGAAAAAGCGGCACAAACATGCACTGTTGGCGCTCCGCGCGGAGTTCTTGGATATGCGCCACGACCCCCCTCCCTGGCGCGCGGAGCGCGCCAGGGGCGGCGCCGGAGGCGCCCTCTGGGGCGACCCAGGCGCGGATCCGAGACATCCGCGCGAAGCACCAACAGCCTCTGTTTATGGCGTTTGTGTTTCTTCGAGATGTCGAAGCGTTATGCGTATGGCGTCATTGCTTATGTTTATGGCGCTTGTGGCGCCAAAAGCTGATGCTTATGGCGCTGTATTGTGTCTATGGCGCCAAGAGCTTATGTTGTATGGCGGGCGCTGTTCTGCGGCACGTCCTCGTCCGACACCTGCGGCACGTCCGGCGGCCAGTGGACCTCCGCCCCCGCGCCGGCCGCGGCGGGCTGCCACGGCCCCGCGCCCGCCGCGCCGCCCCCCTCGCCGCCCGCGGCGCCCGCGCTGCCGGCGCTGGGCGGGGCCTCCCCCGCGCCGCCCGCCTGGGGAGACGAAAAGTACAGCGGGGGCCCGACCACGAGAAGCCTTCCTCCAGAAACGCAGCCCTGAGATAGGGGGCCACATGCGAACCCTACCCCTACCCCCCTCTAAAGTGGTGGGGAGTAGGGGTGGGGTTCGCAGGTGGCCCCCCATGAGACCCCAGGGCGTCCATCGCATTTTTGCGGGGGAACGTCGGGCTCTTCATCGCAAAACCATCGGACCGAAGAAGCCCTGGGCACCCTGGAGGCAAGCAGGGCGTTTCTCGGCATGGGCCTCCACCGTATGTTGCATCCTCGGGGGACCTTGTCTGTCTCGTCGCGGCCCTATCCGCGTCGAATCCGTGTCGAATCCATGTCGGACACGTCGGATCTGGGTCGTGCCAAGTCCGCGCCGAGTCCGCGCCAAATCCGCGTCGAGTCCGCATCGAGCCCGCGTCGGGCACAAGAGAAGACCCCGAACATGCAACGGAACCAAAAGATGCCGAAA